GAAAGAGTGAGACTTCACATACCTTGAAGCCGTTACAAGTAATTGCTTTTCCGTCAATCCTTGTTGTAAAATGTTAAACATGGAACAACATGTTGTTATTCATTAAAATTAGCAAAACCAGGCTGTTGCTCAAACTGCACAAAAAGTCTGGACAGCAGCAAGATGTAGTAAAGAAAAACCTAACTTTCCAGTCCGATTGCCACATCTGGCACACCAGCAAACTCACACCAGTTGAGGGCCAAAATGTCAGCCAAGCTTTAGTATTTTGTCTTTCATTTGTGAAATGTATATGGTGGTGCTAAGGCTGAATTATCTTCTCACTCAGTATTTTAAAATTCTGTCTTTTGTTCAAAGAGGTATGTGGTATCAACAGGACACTGTGAGACAGGGAGCCACAGCTTCCGACAGCACATCTAAAAGTAGCTCCTCTCCTGGCCTTCAATTAGGAAGAAAAAAAGGATTAATAAAATAAATAAATGGGGAGCTGTAATGCTAACCTTTCATTTTCACAGCATGCTATGGGGAATTAAACTAATGGTCACAAGATGTTCTGAACACCCAAAGTGCTAAATGCTAATTATTTTGTGGATTTTTTTTTTTCTCAGTAGGCTATGCTAGACAGCAACACTCTTCAGAAGTCAAATATGAATCCACTCGACAAACCCTGTACTTCCAATCAGAAACAGATTATCATTGTGCCAGCAATGAAAAGGAATGTAAATTATACAGGGCAGTATTTTTCACTCTTTCATATGCCACGTAGACCCTCTTGTATCTTCCGGGCACTAAGTGCAGATTTTCCTTTGTTGCCTCTACTGCTTTCAGTATACAGCTGTAAACATGATAAAGATGCAAATATAGTAAAAAACTATGTTCTCTTACAGCTGCTAGAGGAATGCCAATTGCAGCACTGCACAGGCCAGCCAAACATCTGCTGCCAGCAACACGCAGTGAAGTGGGCATCCCAGCCACCCTGAAAATAGAAAGGCATGAGAGCACGTGCATCTATAAACAGAGGAGATGATCAAAGAAATAAAAATGTGTTGCATTTATATGCATTCTGTAATAAAGAATAAAGCTGGATCGAAGTATCTCAGAAGTGTATTAAAAATTGAATGTTGCCTTAGAGGTGTGTGGAAGGGGGACAGGACCGTGTCCAACAGAGCGGAGAGAGAAGGAGGGGAGGCTGCTGCTCCTGCTGCTCCGGTCGAAGGACACGTCCTGCTTCTGTGGAAGGGCTGTGCGTTCTTGCCCCTTCCGTTGCCCTCAAACCATTCCTTGCTGGCAGCAGCAGCACCAAACGAAGCCTTCTCAGCAACTCAGGTCCCTGGATGTTTGCCCTCCATGGCAGCCTGGAGTGATTTTAGTGGAGACAAAGCACCAGGAAGCAAATGAAAAACAGAAAAAATGAATGTTGAAGCGCAGGCTTCGGCGGACTCTTGAAGAGGGGCAGCCAACGTGCGTTGTAACTGCTGAAGGTGCTTCGTGAACATTCAGGGACCCTCCCCCTTCACATTTCCTACTCTTGAAAATTAATGCAAAGTCCAAGCCAGGATGCCCCTCAGAGGTTTCCAGACATTGTTTCCACAACAGGCACAGGTTAAATTAATCAGACTCCCGATCAGAGGAGCCTGGGGGGCCGGGCTGCTGCCGAGGCAGCTGCGCGGCACGGCCAGAGCCCGGGACAGCGCTCGTCCCATCA